ATATATATATATATATATATATATATATATATATTTTGCCTCTATTACAAATTCTTCTAAATCCGCCACTACTAATGATCAGGATTTTTATAACAGAAGAGATTTGATGGACAGTACAAGATCCAAAGACATTACAGAGTCGCGAGATTGTTAGTGAAACCAAGAAAATGTCCATAACATATCGTATCATTTTCAGAAATCAGTTTGTCTGAATTCTGGTTCAAGCCGTCAAGAGAAAAAAAGTAAAACAAATAGGAAAAAGAAAAATTAGATATTTTTTTTTTCACGTAGATAAAAAGTGAATATTAAGTTAATACAATTTTCTGAAAAATTGTCGATGCAATTGTGCAATTTCGCCGTGTTTTATCCCTCCAATAATTGCCGGTCCATTTGTTAATTAAGCCAATTTAATTAATATGTATGCAATCTTTTTAACCGTGACTGTATGTATTTTCCATTATTGTAACTTGCTTCTATCTTTCAAACTCGACATGATTATAATTGTATTTCGTTTACGAGATACACAATTTCAAATAAAAACGACAATTTATGGATTCACAAAATATAAAATTTCAAATAAAAATATACTTAATGCCCAATTAGAGGCCCAAATACGAGGAGGCAGAGCTCAAGCCCACTACTGAACCTTCGACCACGGCCCAATATTTCGGGCCCAGTCGCGGGCATGTATTTCTTTTCTCTTTTCCTATAGACGAAAAGAAGGTATTCTTTGGATATAATTTTTTTTAAAATTAAACTAAGCGAATCTATTCAAATTGAATATAAAAAAAGTAATTGACCCTTAAACTTTGAACATAAGAATAAATATAAATTTTTAAATGAAAAAAAAAACAAAAGAAGCCAAAATGGAAAGGGTGAAGTTTTCTTTATGTGTTTTGTTTGTTGGGAAGAGATTAGTTGGCGGCAAACAGGTACGAACAAGAACGTTAAAAACGAGAATACAACTAATAAAGACAAAAAAAAAAAGAAAGAGAAATTGTAAGTGGGGCCCAGAGGCATAGCATAGGGTCTATTCTCCGACCACGTTAACATTATCCCCAATTTCATTGGTACACACAAAAGCCCATGTTAAAGACATTGCTCATTGCCCTTTCGCATATCCCCATTCCATTTCTTGTTTCTGTCCCTTTTTTTTTTTTTTAAAGATATAAAGGTCGAAACTTTCCCTTCACCCATTGATAATAGAGGTGCCACCTTTTGAATTTCGGTTCGGTATTTATTAGATTCGGTTCGAAAACGGTTTATTCGAATTTATAAAAATCGTATCAAATCAAAACCAAATATTAATTTTAATGTTGGTTGGGCTTAGAAAAAAAACATATTACCATTACTAAATCAGTCTAGTTCGAGTTTCTTTTCGCTTATCTTCTTTTATTATTTCCTTAAGATCTCTATTACAACGTCGCAGCCTCAGACACAGGACAGAAACTGAGTTTGAGTTTGAGTTTGAGTTCTGTTTCAATCATAAGAAGTGCTTCGAAGCCTCTGAACGGTACAATCATCAAGGATCTTGAGAATGACAGTATTGGTGGTGCACCTAGGCGTCTTGAACTGGTTCAGACCACCTCCTTTCCCGGCGCACCTCTCGGCTATCTTCCCGAACGTCCCTCTCTCCACAACCCGCAATTCCAACGGTCCTATCCCGTTCATACGCCTCGAGACCACGTACCCGTGATCCACAAACCCTTTGTCCATTTCCCTGCAGCATTCCTCCAGCACTTTCTCCTCGGCTTCCCCTCTTATCTCCCAGTAGATTACGTAATGTCCCGGGTGGTCCGACACGTCGGCATGGCTCGTGAAGTCCACGAGCTCGGCCTGAGTCTTCCGGCTCAGCAGCTGAGACGCTTTGTCCACCACCCTCTGCAGGTCCTTCTCAGTGATCTTGTCTATGTTTATCGTCAGGATCAGTTTCCTTCTGTATATGAAACTCAGCTTTGGTGTGCCTTTGTGAAACCCAGTCACTTCTACTACGTCTCCTAATCTGTACCTGTAAAGACCTTCAAAAGATCCACGACACAATTATGAACCATTCACTGATCAGAAAGCATCATTTTTTTTTTGTTGTTGTAAAATGGCTCCACCAGAAGACATAAACAGATTTGACTTCAGACCACTTGTGATGATCTAGTTACTTATCTAGTCTTTTACGAGCATAATTATAAAGGAGACGAGATAACGAGGATATCATTACAGGTAATAATGCAGCAAGCGTACCGGTAAAAGTGGTAATGACAACCTCGTACTCCTCCCCGAGCTTGACTTGAGACAGAGGAACAGGCTTATCTTCTACAAAGTCATCGTTAGCATTTGAGCTTACACCGTTACTGCAGTTGTCTTGCTTCTTCTGCCTGTACAGCGGTATAAACTCAAAATAACAGAACGTGGGAATTACAGTAAAGCTCACATCCTCTGGTGGTAGATGTGGATCCACGTTTACACCAATCCAGCTCTCGGTGGACCCGTAATCCGCACTGACCAATGGCAAACTGCCAGCATAATGCCTCAGCTTTTTTAGGTAAGGTAACATGGAACCCGTCATGATCGACGAGACGTATTTTGCGTTAGGCCACAGCTTTGGGATCAGATCGGACCACCCCAGATTTTGTTGCAGCTCTAAGCATATGGCCTCAATCCGCGAGGCAAGAGATGGGTTTGGTCTGATCAGATTCAAGACGGTGTTTCTCATCCTGGGCAGAGTGATTCTTGAGCTGAGACCGCCTTCCTTGATATCATCGCATATATCTCTCCAGATTTCTTCAAAAAATGCAAAAGCTTGGACAATGGTGTAAGCGAAAGCAGAGGCAATGAACTCTACTTGGCCTGAGAAGTAGAGGCCGAGAAGGAGATGGCAGTATGTGCACTGCCTGAAATCTCCACCTAAGATCACTTCTCGTGGGCTGCAAGTGAACGATTTGGTCGTCTCTTGCTTAGTCTTGAACTCTTTGCTCGCATAATAGTGTGTCGTGGCCGTTCCCACCTTCAGCCCGCTTCGCGTCTTGAACTCCTTGCTTGCGTATATAAACTCAAGAATCCTCCCTCCTTCCCTTATAGGATAAACCCTTCAAAAAAGAATTTGCCATAGAAACTAATGAACAAATGAAATGTTCAACGGAATCTACCAAAAGGAAAGATCAGAAAAGCAAGGAAACCTTGATCTGTAAGCCGCTGATAATCTGAAAATCTGAAGAGTCGTTTGTGAGCTATGGCGAGTAAATGGGACATACTTTTTCCTTCCTTCTGTTGTTCCAGAGCTGGACATTCAAAGGAAGAAAATGGATCAAAACAGACATACGGGTATGGAGCACATAAACAAACTCAAGCATGTAGATTTTATATATACATCTACCTGTGTGTATAACCATACCTGAGAGATAGAACTGTGATGGGTTCTTGTGTAAGTATAGGAGAAGTCTCTCCGTCAGAAATTCTCTGAATATAAGGCTCTAGATCAGCATAGGAGGCGATAGGCACAGAGGAAGTGTAGAGATTTTCTAAGGCAGAAGCATCCATCTCTTGTACATTAGCAGTCCCAAGCCATTTCCTCAGATACTCGGCGCCACTGTTGAGCTCGAGAATCCGACGCAGCGTCTCGCTCTGGACCCTGCTCGCGTTCTCCGACACATACTCGAACCAAGCAATAACGTCTTCATGCTCAGCTCCTGTAAGTTCCATCCAAAACAGCTTTTCCAGGCACTAAGAAGCTAATGGCTGGCACTAGTTTACCTCTATGATGCAAAAACAAAAGTTAGCGGTCACTGCATAATAAATAGGGAACGGGCCATTGACCACACAATTTGTCTTTCACTATCCCATGCCAGACAACGACAAATTTGTTTTATTTCTTCATTGCATTATTGTTCATCAGCTTTCGGGACTCATTTGTCCTTTTACAAGGAGCCATATATGTCAGATACCTCCATATGTGTCAGGTATCTCCATATATGTCACAGAAGGCCATTGTCCATTAGCATCTCTTACAACTACAAAAACATTGAATGAGATTCACATTTAGTATCCTCATATCTTAGAAAAACTATCATTAACCACACCGGGCAATATCTGGTTTCTCAGTTCTTGTGTAACCATGATAGACGGAATATTCCCAAGCATATGCCCGAAATTAAATGAAGAGAGCTAAGAAGCACCTACCGGAGTAATGAAGCATTAGATTTTTGTTTCTCTCCGAATGTGGCCGACCCTTGATGGTTCTTTTTCTGCATTTAACTGGGGGTACCCATGTAGGACCATGAAACACGTGTTACACAACTTTGTTTTGTTTTTGGTTTGGCTATTTCTTCAGCCTCAACCTTGATAGGCCCACCACTTTCCATGGATCCAACGTTGATATTCACATAATCTCTTCCCCGTCTACTTTTTCTCTCTCCCCTTCTGTGTGACTAACACTCTATGCAGAAATATTCACCACAAGTTCAAGGACACAAGTGCTGGAGTTTGCAAATCAATCTTTCACTTTATTCTCCCTCGAGATCTTGATGTGCCATTAACTCCCTACATGTCCTGTCTGTCAATCGATGTAAATCCAAGGACAGTATGTTTTGTTCTTACCATAAAATGTCACCAAGTCTTCTCATCTCCAAGATAAGCGGGAAATTATATGACAAGAACTTGCAGTATAGAGAGACCAAAATCAAAAGAATAAAATCCAGAAGCTGAAGTCATCACAATGTTTATTGATGATATTATTTCAAGTAGCAGATATTGACAAAGATGCCGGAGGAACCACACCTGCCAAGAACTGGACATCTGCTAGCATGTCTAAGACACAGCGCCCTTGGATAAAATCAACAACAACAACAAAAAACCCCGGTTTCCCCATTGTGATTGTTTGAAGTCAGATTCAGAACTTTCAACTAAAGTTCTAATCTTCACACGCCTTCTTTACGCCCCCAATCCTTTCGTAACAAATGCCTCTTGGGTTCATCTACTCTTCCAACCTGTCCTAAAACCATCAGCGAGACTAGAACAAAACATTGAATTGACAGACTAACACCATTACTCAGGCAATACTCAAAAATACTCCAGAACCTCTCCCACTCTCCCATTCCTAACACGAGCCATTGGCAGCAACACCATAAATTACCACGTCAGGTTGAACGCCTTCATCTATCATAAGAGGATCCTAAGTGCCTCTTCGATACTTCCACACTCTGCATATGGCTCTAATCAGCTTAGTGTATACAGCCACATTTGGTTTAGACCCCTTGCAAGTCATATTCTCGAAAACATCATATCCTTCCTTCAGCTTCCCCTCCTTGCAAAGTCCTCCGATCACTAAAATATAAGCATTAGGGTGGAATCTCAAGCCCCTTCTCGTCCATTTCTTGATACAGAGCTACAATTATCTCCCTAACACGCCATGATCATAGTCATATATGCCATCTTATCTGGCTACTCTGAAATTCTCCATAGCTTTTTCTGGGTCTGCCCTGCTCTACAGCACCCTTCGATCGTCGATGTTGTAAGTCACAACGTTCCGGTCTGAACCTGCCACTGCCCATAACCTCAAATACGCACTATGCAGGTTCCATTAACCAAAATATCACCCGCATACAGAATGGGTTCGATCCCATTTTCTTTCATTCTACGCCACACCAACAACAGCCCCTTCACCATCCCGAGCACACCAAAGCTCTTTAATCAGAGAATTAGCGGCCAAGATACAGCCATCGTGAACTCCATACTTCTAATTTCACCACAAAAGGACCTGATTCTGTCCACATTATTAGCCAGTGCCAATACATCAATCAATGAGACGTACCACTCAAGCTTGTTAGCATTCTTCTTCTCTGCATACCAGCCCAGCGAAAGAACCTCCAAGCGATATCGGGTTTTTTCGCAGAGCTCACCCGATTTCAGCACAAAGAAAGCGAAATTGAGCGGAAAATTTAAGAATGAATTAGCGTCAGAAACGATATAGATTGGATTCCATGGCGGCCGAACCATCGAGGAGGAGGATGATTTGACTTACCCATGGAGATCATCACGAGTCGTCTTCACCAAATCGGAGACGTCGTTATAGGGCTCAACACGCGTGCTAACACTGTGGCCACACAGAACCGGTCTAAACCGGTACGTGTTCTATATGTTGGGCCTATTGGTTTTGCTTACGGCCCAAACTTCACGAGCTCAATTTACTTCTTGGGGTTCTTCCCTTTTTCTTTGACCGCTTCGCGAGAAAGCTCGTCTACGACCGTACGATTCAAAACGATCTTGCGCCGATGAGGTTCTGATACTTTCCCGTCACCAAAACTTGTTCTGTATTGTCTTTCTGCTTCTGGAGAGCATTTCGTGGGAATATTAAGAAATCGAAGCTCGGGATCTTGGTCATTGTAAGGAACTGTTTCCTTCTCGAATTTCTCTGGATTTGAGTTCTGGGTTTCTTATTCCTCGCTTCAGCTGTAACGAAATTCTCAGATTTTCTCCTGGGTATGTAGCAGTTTGCTTGTCCTTCGTATCAGTGTCTTGATTTTCTGCTGCATTCAGCTGTTGGGTTTTGTTTGTACTCACTGAACTTTGATGCTTTTCAATTCAGGAAAATTAGGGTTTAAGACGCTTCAATTCTCTGGCTCAGTGCGCTTGTTACGTTCTTGACCACCGGATTTTGGCGAAATGATTTCTCTCTTTCCTAATGTAGATTAGCTTTCTGAGTAGTCTTCCATGGCAGAAAAAAAAATGAGCTTGTTTGCCTTTGTTTGAATTGCTAGGTTTTTGTTCTTTGTCTGTGGTTTTAGGCATATTTTACACGTGTTATGGTTGAATGAGCGAGAAGTTAAGATTTTTAGGTTGTCTGAAAGTTTGATCATTATGCTAGATATATACCAATGTCCGGGAACAACAACAACATCAATCCTCCAAAGCCTCCAGGCTCTACTTCTTCGCCTTTTGGGAATCCCGGGATGGCCTCCGCATCTATCCCTGCAAACCCAGGCTTCCCCCCGTCCCAAATGGCGGCTAACTTTCAAGGTCAGTTTCAGTTTTCACAAGCCCAGGCCCTTGCCCATGCTCAAGCTCAAGCACAGTCTAAAGTTCAAGCTCAACTCCAAGCTCACTTACAAGCACAAGGCTTGGCAATGAACCAAAACCAGGGCTCCCCAGGAATTGGTGGTTTGGCTTCTTCTTCGCCGTCTCTGTCAACTCCCGGAAGTCTGAATCTAAAGCGGTTCACACAGAAACCACCTATGCGCCCTCCTGGTGTCCCTGCAACTAACAACACAATATCCCCTATGAGAACAATGGAGTTAACTCCTGCTGCACGTAAAAAGAAGCAGAAGCTTCCGGAGAAGACCTTGCAGGATCGGGTGGCTGCTATCTTGCCCGAGTCTGCTTTATATACACAGCTTCTGGAATTTGAGTCACGGGTTGATGCTGCATTGTTGAGAAAGAAAGTTGATATCCAGGAGGCTCTCAAAAACCCTCCCTGCATTCAGAAGACGCTTAGGATCTATATCTTTAACACGTTTGCTAACCAGGTCAACACGATCCCAAGGAAACCAAATACTGACCCACCAACATGGACTCTTAAGATTATTGGGAGGATCCTTGAAGATGGAGTGGATCCTGATCAGCCCGCGTTTGTTCAGAGATCAAATCCATTATATCCAAAGTTCTCATCTTTCTTCAAACGGATAACAATTTCCCTGGACCAGAGGCTGCATCCTGAAAACCCATTGATCATATGGGAGAATGCCCGATCACCGGCTCCTCAGGAAGGGTTTGAGGTAAAGAGGAAAGGGGATCAAGAGTTCACAGCTGATATACGTTTGGAGATGAACTACGTTCCCGAGAAATTCAAGCTATCTCCTGCTCTGATGGAAGTTCTCGGCATTGAGGTTGATACCCGGCCCAGAATCATCGCAGCAATCTGGCATTACGTTAAAGCCAGGAAATTGCAGAACCCGAATGACCCCTCATTCTTTAACTGTGATGCTGCACTCCAGAAGGTGTTTGGGGAAGAGAAGATGAAATTCACGATGGTCTCTCAGAAGATATCTCAGCACTTATCACCTCCCCCACCGATTCATCTAGAACACAAAATCAAGTTGTCGGGAAATAATCCGGCAGTGACAGCTTGTTACGATGTGCAAGTAGATGTACCTTATCCAATCCAAAGGGAACTGTCCATCTTGTTGGCCAATGCGGAGAAGAACAAAGAGATCGAGGCCTGTGATGAAGCAATATGTGCAGCCATACGAAAAATCCATGAGCATAGAAGACGGCGTGCGTTTTTCTTAGGGTTCAGCCAGTCACCGGTTGAATTCATCAATGCTCTGATCGAGTCTCAAAGCAAGGACCTGAAGCACGTTGCAGGAGAAGCAAGTCGCAGCGCCGAGAGAGAACGCCGATCTGATTTCTTCAACCAACCATGGTAAGCTCATCATTCCCTGTTTGCTAGGCTAATTTCCATCACTTAACAGTGCAAGAAATTCAAAATTTTGCATTTTTAGACAAATCAGACGTATATATGGTGGGAATTTCTTGTGTCTGGATGAACAGAACTTAGACTGCGTTCCTCATGCTAGTTGTGTTGTGTCTCCAACATTCAACATAATCTGGGTCAGAACACAGGAGTCATCTTAGAATTCCTAGTGAATAACAGGGGGCTTTATGAATCACGAAAATGGACAACATTCATCATTCAATTTGGTCTGATCCGACATGGGCATGTGTTTAGAGTGGCAAAGAACACGAATAGAATTCACTTGTGACTTGCATATTTAAGGGTCAGAAAGAACGTAGTTTGTGCTCCGATTCAACGTGAAGGGAGAATAGAGCGGCTAAGATCGTGTGAATTCAAGCAAAAACTGATCAGAAATTGTTTGATTTGGTGGTCCGTGCAGGGTCGAGGATGCGGTAATACGATACTTGAACAGGAGACCTGCTGCAGCAGGGAACGACGTGCATGGCAGTTCATGAGCTTGTCGCTTGTTCAATATATCCTCGAACCCAGAGGGGTTTTTTCTTCTTCTTCTTCTTCATTTTTTCCCAATTCTGAGATCAATTTGGTTTATGTTATAAATGCCATGAAAGTAGAATTAGCCTCAGCCCTTGGTGTATATTTCAAGTGAAATGCCATGAAAGAAGAGAAGAATATGTAGGTGAGAGAATTTAACATTTTTTTTTTTGTTTTTTGTAGCCTTTTTTTTCCAAGTCCCCATGTATTTGTATTCCCTTCGCTTACATGAGTTGAATGGAGAGGCTTTTTTTGGGTTTTCACGTGTGATACCATTGTGGGGAGAGGGAGAGAGATTGTGCTATGTTAGCTAGGGGTGTCAATCGGTGGGTCTGGTCCGATCCGGCCTGAGTTTGTGTTCGGTCTGAAGATTTTGGGTTTGGGTTCGGACTGATCAGATTTTTTTCGGCTCTATGTAGTTAAGTTTGAAGCCCGTTTTATATATTCTGGGTTCAGTCCCAGTCCGGTCTGCATAATTCCTTTTATACATTTTTTTTAAAAAAAATATCGAGTTTTCGGACTGGCCTGACTTGAGTTCGAAATTTGATTCAAACTCGACCCAAAATCCCGATTTTTTTTCGGACCGAGAAACTTAGACTCGAAGCTCAGTAATTTTCGGGTTGGACCGGATCGGGTTTCGTGACTCGAGCCCAAATTGACACCCTTATATGTAGCTGTATAGAGACAAGTGAACTTGAATTCGATATAAAAACCGAATCATGAATTTGGTTAAAAAACGAATTTACTAGATGAATATATATATCAGATTAACACTAGATGAGTTTCTTTCTGTTAGAGGGGATAATCAAAATAATAATAATGATACAATGCAATATTGTTCTGTTTCACATTTTCAATCTTAATTTCAACTCCAATTACCAATATGCCCCATTTGGACTGAACCCGAATAAATTTTGTGATTTTGGAATTGTGTTATAAATCTACACCTCGCACGTCCACAACATGCCACGTGTCGGTTTTCATATCAAATGGGGTTTTGTTTTTTCATATCGTTTTGATATTCATTGGTTTATGCGGCCAATACGATTGTGATATTATTATTATTATACGGTAACACTTGCGGTATATATAATATGTGACGGAGTCCACGTCACCGGCATTTTAAACGTGCATCCCTTGTTTCCATGCTTTAATGCATCGAATACAGCGTAATCTGGATATTTAATATGGATTTTAATTTTTTTTTTCTTTGGCTAAGTTGAGTCTTGTTCAAGTTTATTTATTTTGATTTAAAAAAAAAATTGAAGTTTGAATTTGCTTACGGATAAGGACCATCGATAATCCATAGAATGTTAGGAGGAGCGCATATCGCATTTAGTAAGTCGAGATAATTGCAACTCTCCGTATTTAAACAGTAAATCACTTGTTTAGCATAACAGTCCCATTCTAAAGATAATTAAAAGATTTAACGTTATCATTATTCAATCATAAGATACAAAGCCGCAAATTAATATATTAGGGATATGGAATTAAATAAGACGATATATATATATATATATATTGTAAGTAAGTATAATGAATATAAATATTTATGGGGGTGGGATTTCCAGTGGAAAATGATTAAAGGCTAATAAAAAAGGGGGAGATTACAGATTAAAAAAAAAAAACAGGACACGTGAGGATCATGAGATGGGGGGACGAGGAAATTCGGTCAAACTTCAGATTAGGTGTTAACGCGCATTTTAGATTTTAGATTTTTTGGAATTTAGAGATTTTCCTCTCTCTCTCTGTGTTTTATTAATGCTTTTTTTTCCCCTCACAAATATTCACGGTGAGCATCTGAATGAATCTGTGCCCAGAGATTATTTCAGATAAAGGGTAGAAATTTAAAAAAAAAAAATCGAGAATTTTAAAGAGCATCGTTTGAAGATCGTCGTGAGAGAGAGAGAGGGGCAAGGCGGATTCACGAGCTTTGAGCTGTAGTTCCGTCCCTCCTTTTGTAACCCGGCCCCGCCCGTTTTCTTTTCCCTTTTCCAGAATTTTCCCGAGAAAGTGTTGGTTTCCCGGTAAAATTTTGTCGCTTCTCCATTATCTCGGCTGCGGTCTGTCTCCAGAGAGGGGAGAGCTCTTTAAAGTTCGTCTCTTTCTCTCTTGTTTAGCAGTTGGGTACTGATCGAAACATGAACTGAACGGTTGTTTGTCTATTTGGGGTCTGGATTTTCTGGTTTTCTCTGATTCTGGCCTGAAGGGTCATAGATCTCGACAGGTGGCTTCAATTTGGCAGTTTTACGAGGGAAGAGCAAAACATAAGCATTGGTGTCTCGATCGTGATTTTGTGTATTACTGGGTGTCGTGTCGGATACCTGTTGTTTCAGACTTTTGGATTTGTCTCTCCTTCTAATTTGCCGAGCAAACCGGGAAATCGGCTCTCAGCATAGAAAAAGGCTTTTCTTTCTTCAGCAAGCAACTGAGGAGATTTCGGGTTTTTCTTTTCTTTTTTTGGCCCCTTTTTTTTTTCCGTTTCCCTTAAATTCAGCTGTCCTAACGTCAAAGCTCAGACACTCGCTTGCGTGTCTCTCCCCAAAAAGCCCCAGATCTCTCTCCCTCCCCCTCTATCTTCTGTTTCTGGGCTCTTCCTGAGAAGAACCCATCTCTCTCTCTCTCTCTCTCTCTCTCTCTTTCTCCGTGTTAGAATCATGGTGTCTGATAAAGGGTCGGGGAAAAAATCAAACCTTGAGCGATTCCTCAATTGCACAACACCCGTGGTGCAATCACGATCTCTTCCCAAGGTTTGAAATGCTTCGTCTCCGTTTGATCATTTCCCTTTTTTGGGGGTCGTAATTATCGGTTGTTAATCATGTGATTAGCGATGGGGTTATGGAATTGCAGGCGGGGATTAGGAACCTGAACAGGATATGGCATCCATGGGAGAGGGAAAAGGTCGAGTTTTTCAGATTGAGTGATCTTTGGGACTGTTATGATGAATGGAGCGCTTACGGGGCAGGCGTTCCCATTCGGCTGACAGATGGAGACTCTTTGGTCCAATACTATGTCCCTTATCTCTCCGCCATCCAGATTTTCACTTCTCGATCTTCCTTGATCTGTCTAAGGTTTGTTCCTCTTTCCCATTTCATCTGATCGTGTTTACATGTTAAGAATCGCATTGCTTTGTGTTGAATCTTTCCGGTACAAAGGCAATGTCTGAAAACTGAGGTTCTTAGGGGAGTTTCAGATGGTGAAAACAGACCTTTTCATACGTTTACAGACAGAAATCTTGATTGGATTGTGGTGAATCAGATGAAACTTAGATATGGGGCATTGCTCTGTGAAGAAACTTGATGAAACCTCTAGTTTTTTTTTTTGGAATTGGTTTAGGGAGGAGTCTGAAGGAGGGGATTCGTTTAGCGATTCATGTAGCGAAGAGAGCGAGTCTGATAAAGTATGGAGAATGGAGGGATGTGGTGCAGCATCCGAGGAAGGGTTCGATCATCCTGATGCCCTCTTGCATCCAAATGATCGTTTGGGTTACCTTTATCTCCAATACTTCGAGCGATCTGCTCCTTATGCCCGGGTTCCGCTCATGGATAAGGTACCATTCCTAGAATCTTTTGCACTTTGCACGTTATAGAGATTGTATTTGGTAGATATGAACCAAGATAAAGAAACTTTAAAGCCCTTTAATCGATATATTGAAAAAAATTGGGAGTTCAGATAAACGAATTGGCGGAGAGATTCCCGGGGTTGATGACGTTGAGAAGTGTAGACCTTTCGCCCGCAAGTTGGATGGCGGTGGCGTGGTACCCTATCTACCATATTCCCATGGGAAGGACCATCAAGGACCTATCCACTTGTTTCCTCACTTATCACACCCTCTCCTCTTCATTCCAAGGTAAATTCTCCGAGCTCGTCGAGATTTTGACGGTGAATCATCGAATGTACATATACTGACGTGATTCTGTTCGGATCCCATCTCGACCAAATATGGATACCCTCTTCTTACAAATTAGGTTTGTGGTTGAGTTCTACCCGTGTGTTTGAATTGGACCTACCATGAAATGACTTATGTTCGGTTTCTTTTAGGATCCTTATAAGATAAGGCATCCTCCCCTTATGGGCGAGTTTATTCGTATTCTTTGTTTTACCAAAATATCCGATATATGGTGTATCCACGTCAACACAGATATGGAACCGGAAGAAGAAAAGGGCGAAGACGAGGGAGAGATGTCGTTATTACCGTTTGGATTGGCGACTTACAAGATGCAAGGGAGCGTTTGGATGTCGGAGGAGGATAAAGGGCACGACCAGGAGAGGCTCGTTTCGCTGTTAAGCGTCGCGGATTCGTGGCTGAAGCAGCTCAGAGTTCAGCACCATGACTTCAACTACTTCTGTGGAGTTATGTCTTCCCGCTGTGGCTGAGCCCCTTAACCGTTCGGACCGTTTTTGTGATTAATTGTGTTTTTTTTTCTTGTGCTTTTGTACGGACCCCGTCCGTCCGTAGCTCTGCTCCAAACGGCTTACGGACACCCTGAGGCCTGAACGGTTTTTTTTGCTTTTGCAAGCAAAGGAAAAAAAAGGTCTTTTTAACCATGGAGGTTGTGTATGTAAAATGTTGATCGGTTTCTTTTTGTAATGTTATATATAACATGATTGGAGAGCCTTTGTTTATCATTTTAATAACAAAAAAAAAAACATTAAATTAGGCTTTTTTTTTCTAATCTATGTTTGGACCGTGTTATTTATTCTGGTTATATCCTTTGGCAACAATAAGGATCCTATTATTGTGTTTAGGTAATAATAATAATAATAGAAATCCCCATATTTGCAGTTATTTTTTTCTTAATTGGAGAAAATGATGATATTGTGTTGTCAAGCGTTTTAATCGTTAGACGTAATATTCCGAAGAAGAGTGTAAAGTTATATAATTTCAACCGACCACCCATGTAAAATATAATAAAATATATAACAAATGAATGAATACAGAATAAAGTAAATGAAGATTTTGTTTTTTTTGTTTTTTTTTGGGGGTTTAAGTACAAAAGTCAAGAAGTGGGGTTCAGTGTTTCATATGTGAATCCCCCACTTTAGGGGTTTTCCACTATCATCACATTGCAGCAACATTTGTCATCTTACTCCACAAACAAAAAGGGAAGGGGACCAACAACGTTATCCGTTTCGTGTTTTTGTCATTGTTTTCTTTATTAAATTGACATTTCCCAAGATGGGCAGCCGTAGTCCCACACATAGCTTGTACCATATATATATATATATATATATGTATATATACATCCATAATTCCTAGATGGGTAAAAAATCATTCAATATTTTATGATTACTTTTTTGTAAAGATTTCATCTATGTAAAGTATCGCAATAATTGTTGAATCTATGCTCCCATTTCTACTTGGTGCATATATATATATATATGTAGCAGAATAATAGAGATTACCAAAAAGAAACAGATGCACAATTTTATTTTATTTTTGGCTTGGGGAAAAAGAGGAGAAAGAGCAACATAAAATGCGGTGAGCGTGGATCGAACACGCGACCTTCAGATCTTCAGTCTGACGCTCTCCCAACTGAGCTATCCCCGCTTGACTTTTACAGCCGTAATTTTAAAGCAAATAATACGCCAAATTCTTACAAAATGTACGTACACTTCCTCATCCGCGTATTAACCGAAACGATACAACACGATCTAAAATAAAAGCAGACACAAAACTACGCAACACATCAAGAAGATACAGAGCCTGCTGAGTGATTTGTCAGTCTCCATCATCTGCCTCCTCATCCTCGGTCCGCTGGTTCCTACGAGGTTGTACGCGTCCGGGTATGTGAATGCATCTGTAACCTGTGCTCCAAACAACCCCGTCGATATCATTTCGCCGAACATCACCATGACGGGGTTGAGAACTGTAGAGTATGACAAACTGCTCGATCTCAGTAATGGCGGGTAGTAACCATCCTGTTGCGAGTAGTACATCCGAGTCCGAGGCCCGTGCGGGTTATTCAGATGAATCCGTTGCGGATTTGGACTTGATTGTGACAATGGACTCGGCATCTCGACCCTGTAAATCGGGCCTAATGGTCTTCTGGGCGTTGTAGTTTTACTTCCATCTTCGGTTGTGGAACATCCTCCTCGGCCGTACAGCGGGACCAATGTTGTGTGAGAGACTTTGGATTTGCAGACAGGACATTGTTTATGTCTTTCCTGTTCGTCTATGGCTGAGATTCTTTGTGGATGGAGCCATTTGTGGATGCAGGGCCAGCAGAAGAGATGACCGCAAAGCGTAACAACAGGTTCTCGCACAGAGTCTAGGCAAATGTTGCAGTCGAAGTTACCATCATCATTGTCTCCAGAAACCGAGACCGCACCCGAATCAGATTCCCCATTCTTTGAAGAGAATGCATCACCACTGTCAAAGTTGCCCGGTAAACCATCTTCTTCAAAGTACGGGTCCATGTCCATTGGTGAATTGCCCAGAGGAAAGGCGTAACCCAGTTGGAAAAGCCTGCAAATGGTTGCCGACGATAAAGAGGAGATTTAGAATCAATGAGCTCAATCAGAGGTTTTGAAGCATAGGTATCACAGAGCTTTAAAAATCAAGCAGAGAGACGGATAGATCCGCCATAATTTGAGTTCAGTTCTGGTGAGAGTTAGGTTATGTCATAAATCTTGGAAAGCGGACCACCGACAACCCTAAGGTTCTGAGGGGGGATAAGATGCTCAAGAACATGACTGGCAATCAATATAGGCCTCACAATCACACAACAGGCATGACTAACCATGTGAATGCGCCCCCCAGATTCCAATCCTGATTTTATCAAAAACTCCGAATTACTTCAATTCAACCACAGAATTGGGGAAGCCTCTAATTCAGAAAAAGGGACAGATTTATCCCCATAAACCTAAATCCTTCGTCGATCGAGGTCAAAGAAACAGGCTTATTCCCATTGACTGAGACAGATGTGTTCTTCAGATCAAGTTGACCACAAGAAAAAAATCCGATCAATTCCCGGAAACAGAAAAAAACTCTGGAAACAAACTTAGCAGAGGCGGAGCGATGAATTCGATCACCGTCCCGGCAAGCGCAGATAGAAATTCGAAACGTTAGGTAAAACGAGAAGATGAAACACGGATGCGCCGACGAGTCGCCAATATAGAACTATAGATACATACATCTATACAGCACGCGTACACACGCGTCTATACAGAGAGAGAGAGAGAGAGGGTCGAACGAGATTCCGGGGAATTACCAGACAGGCGGCGGAGTTTGCGTGAATCCCTCGACAGAGTAGACGACTGAGAGTAGAAATTCAGATAAGATGGGGGAGGGGAGGAGACAGGGAAGGGACGAGTGTTTGGATAGAGAGAAAATCTGCGTACAGAAGCGAAACAAGCGACGATAAAAAGGAAACTTTTCTCGAACAAACCAAATTTATATAAATTCCTTTCCGAGATGAAACATACCTTCGAGTGCCGGAAACGCGAAATTCTCCGGATGACGTGGCAAAACTGTGTGCTTGTCGGTTACTGTGCACTGATCTTTCTTTAATAACAATTAAAATATAAAATATATGGGTTTTTGTATAAAAATTAAAGATTTCTGAAACAAATTTATATCCATATTCCTTTTTCTTAAATTACGGATTTATTTTTCCGGTGGAAAAGTAAGATTGAGTCGTTGGTCTTTGATAATCAATTCTCTATTTGAGTTGAGAAGAATATTAGTATATTATTAACATAATCACATTATTAAAGAATCATTATTCACATAATCACAACTATATACACCAAGTTTGACTGGCCATACGCATTATTATTTTATGAATAAAGACTCTATACCCGATTCATCGAATCATGGACCAATTGGAACGAACCAAAAAGCTTATTTTATTTTTCTAACGCTTGTTTCTTTTATATGTAATAGGAGAATTATAAAATATAATATTAAAAAAAAAAAAGAAGTGGGAGGATGGGGATTGGGCGGTGGCGTGAGGAAAAGGTCATCGGAAAGGGTTTTTAAGCTGTTTTTTTTTTATAAAAGGTTTTTAAGCTGTTGCAGCTGCGGCGCTTCACACCATGACCCTGTTCCCCGTCATATACATTATCGTTTATTTTAAATTAATTAATTAATGAAAACTTTGAGATACAATATATTATATTATATAATATAAAATAATATAATATAATATTGACCAAAATAGAAGTAGAACGTGGCGTCCGTATCAAAACGACTGAAACCTTTGTCACCTTGTAATTATAATATATTTCAAAGTCAAGTCGTATAATGATGATAAGTTACTTTATTTTGCTCCCACGTATGCCGTGGTGATTATAATATATATATCCGAGGCCCGTGCGGGTTATTCAGATGAATCCGTTGCGGATTTGGACTTGATTGTGACAATGGACTCGGCATCTCGACCCTGTAAATCGGGCCTAATGGTCTTCTGGGCGTTGTAGTTTTACTTCCATCTTCGGTTGTGGAACATCCTCCTCGGCCGTACAGCGGGACCAATGTTGTGTGAGAGACTTTGGATTTGCAGACAGGACATTGTTTATGTCTTTCCTGTTCGTCTATGGCTGAGATTCTTTGTGGATGGAGCCATTTGTGGATGCAGGGCCAGCAGAAGAGATGACCGCAAAGCGTAACAACAGGTTCTCGCACAGAGTCTAGGCAAATGTTGCAGTCGAAGTTACCATCATCATTGTCTCCAGAAACCGAGACCGCACCCGAATCAGATTCGTGGCCGCAAGCTGACGTTATCCCTCTATCCCAATAGGCAAAAAGGCAAAAAAAGGCTAAGCATGTCTCGACTCAATTTCATCTAACCTCCACACATGTTCCATTCCATGTCATGCCATCCAGTTATCCAATGCCTTGGATATCTCAGTCATGACACAGTATGACGATCTAGATGAGTCGCCATTGATGCAGCAGAGGAAGGAGAAGATAGGGGTAGAAAAGCAAGTGAAGAGAAGACCTCACATTGCTGATACTCTCATTGCAAGAACTTGTCTATGCTTGCTTTGAGTGTTTGTATGGGCACAGCTCCGATGATTGTATCCTTCTTCTCACCACCCACGAAGATCATGATTGTCGGTATGCTTCTCACCCCGTACTGGCTCGGGGTTGAAGGAGAGTCATCCGTGTTTAGTTTATAGAACTTGAATTTCCCGGCGTATTCTCGAGCGAGCTGATTCACGATCGGGTCGATCATTTTGCAAGGTCCGCACCAGGGTGCCCAGAAATCGACCAGCACAGGTCCATCGGCCTTGAGAACCAGAGACTCCCACGTCGAATCAGTGACAATTGGAACTGAAAGGCATCGAAGGATACAAATATCAGTATCAGCATTTCAACATGTCGGATTATAATCTAGAAACAGAGCACTGTAAGACAATGTTTCTGTAATTTAACCAGATTCCATAGATCAACTAAACTAGAATCAATGAAGAAAAATTATCCAACATGTAATATTAGATAATGAAGAATTCCTAACATGTAATTTTATACAAAAAGCTGAAATTTGTCTTCCCATAGAAACCTCATTTCGAGCAGAAACTCTCTCAAATTTGTGCACGTTCACAGGAACTCTTCTGCCAAGTTCATGGATTTGGTACTGGTTACCCTCTCAAAGCACACAACTTTGACCAGATCACAAGTTACAGAGCTCAATTAGCATAAATTCGTGCCAAACATCTGAATTATCTCAAAATAAGCACTTCGGGAAAGTCAATATTGGGTACATTCACTACTCAACCGCAACAAATTCGTTCGCACACGTTGGCAGAATCCATCATCCAACACTAATGTGCCAGAAAAGCACCAAAACGACCGCAACAACAGCAAATCAGAGCAGGAGGGAGAACTTACTGTCGGTGGTAGTGTTCTGAGCTTCACAGACGACACTTCTTCGTTGTCGGGAAACCCTAGGACCCTTCGAGGTCAACGAAGCCAGAGAGAGAGAGAGACAGGTCCTTAATCCTCCGGATTCCGGCGAAACGGCGAACATCCGTCGACCAGATAGAGAAGCTCTCGGTGGCGAAGAGAGACTCATCTCCGTCCGGAGGGAAACCGGCGGTTGGGAGGTGCAGGTGAAAGCAACCATGGAGGACGAGAGATTCTCCTGATCACCAGTGCAATATTGTCCAGAAAAAAGATCGCGGAAATTATCAAATTGAATTGGAAGGATTTTATCTGAAAATGATTATTTTTTGTCTCTCTCGACATTTAGGCCCAATAGGCCCATATAGAAAGAGGCCCAATTCCACACAAAAAAGGTTCCCGTTAAAAAAAATTATATCTCCTTCCAAAGACCCCAAGCGAAACCATGCGTTGCTTCGCCTTCGCCGGCGCATATGCTCTCAATCTCTCTCCGTCCCTTGATCTCAGCCGCCGCCTCTGCTGCCGGAAACTCGGTGCCATTCCCCGGAGCTCGCTCATGACCTCAGTTTCGTCTCGATCTCCGCCGTGTGAACTCGTCGGCGGTGATGGCGGCGCCATCACGGTAGAGGAGTGGCAAGGGTGGGGTCCGGTGTCTCCATTTCCCGCCGCGATCAAGCAGATTGTGGAGGATTTAAAGGTTTTGGAGTGTAAAACGGATTCGGAAATGGAGTTCGGTGGAAATGGTGGCAAGTTACAGGTAGATGGTGAGGATGACGGCGAGGAAACAAAACCTCGTCGCTTGTTTCCTCTTAATTTTTTTTGTTTCTGCTGATTTTCACCGTAAAAGTTTGCTCGGGATTATCGGAAGAATTGCAAAGTGAGCATGTCGTTGGTTTTGTATTAAATTTGGTCTGGCAAGTCAAAATTAGGGAGTTGAATGAAGAACAGCTCCGAATGATGTCCTAGTTTAAGCAGATATGGGTGTGAATCTTTACAATTTTTTTGCTCATAGATTCCATTTTCTCATCCTGAGTGGTGTGGTCATGTTTGTTCTTGTATTGTGATAATTCCATTGCTTATTGGCGTATGCTTTGTCCATGCTTTTGCACGTTACAACTGTTTTCTTTCTTACCTGTGTCCTTAATCATTGTCTGAATCGTTAGATCTCAGGTTTCTAAACTGCTCACACTTTGTTTCTTCATCTCTTTTTTAAGCTTATATTTCATATACAACTACAACAGGGGCCTTTTGGCATGTATGAGGATAAGAAACATAGGGCTACGTATGAAGCATTAGGTGACCCAGAGAAAAAGTTCCGATTTTTCGCGGCCCGACAAATAGCTTGCCGGCTTCTTGGGAGCAGAGGCTACTTATGCCAGAAGGTATTTCGGTTCTAATCACTGCATTGCATTCCCCTTTGTTTTAGTTGCTATTCATTCCATCCCTGAGGTAAGACTGATCGTAGTTTATTTACAGTGTTGGCTTGCTATGGAGGATTGTATGTGCTCTAAGGTTAAGCCTTGTGATTTATGGAAACGTATACGCTTTTGGTTGTACATGCATCCTAAGGTTAGTATTATTATATTCACGGTCTCGTCTGTTGCAATTGAGGTAGTAGTACCCAGTTCGTAACGTCTGATAATCTACCAGCTGTTGGCAGGATTTTCTTCGGCAAAACAACACAGGGAAGTTATTGTGGCAGATTTTCGGCGTGCAATCTGCTACATTGTGTCTCTTTGGCATTGCAGAAGATGAGGAGATCATGTGGAATGAATTCAAGCGTGCAGGTTCTCTGGTTTTCCTAGTCCCAGAGCCCTCTGCAATTTCAGATGCATATGTCGATTGCTATAGTTCTCATCCTGAAATCCCTTGCGGTTTGCTTGTGTTTGGTCAATGTTCAGGGAAAAATCGCGTTTGGTGTCTTTACCCGAACCAGAATTCTGTCTCAATGTCGGTTGAAGATGTTTTCGGCAATGCCACTTCAGAGAGTTTGGAAAATGAGTCGTCCATGGTAATGTAAATTGCAAGTTGCAACCTTCACAGCTATGGATTCTCCTGTTAATGTATGGCTGCTTAAAACCAAAGGCAGAAAGAGTGAAAGGGTCCCATATTTTTCACTTGACAGACAAATGGAGATAAAACTTTAAATTTCATTCTGCTTGACGGTACGTGGAACAATTCTGCTGCGATGTTCAAGCGTTTGAAGGTAAATATGCATGCTGAGTCATATTTCTCGTGGATTTTTCATCTTGTGCCCCGTGTAAGGCGTCACTACCGGAATGAGCCGATGTGTAGGATCATGCAAAGTTGATCTGGGATGAAGATGATCTTCCTTGCATTTCTCTTGCAGCAGGTGCATCGGCAATGCATAAGCTCCGGTAATAAATTATTGACCCCTTCCAATAATTCTTCCATGTGTATGCTTTGTAGTCCGTGTATATACATTCCAGTTTCTGCCCGATGACTGATCTTTAGCTACCGAGTATCAGGCCACAACCATCATGGGACAGAACTTGCACGGCGGCAGCAGCCATTGGACTTCTGTCTGAGCTGACCCTTCTCCCGCATTTTAGCGCGTACGGGTTAGACAAGCAATCCGAGACAGTCGAGGAGGCTTTGGTGATATTGCTGGAATCACTAACAGCTCGGCGTGTAAGAATGGGCAGGTCCATCAATCGTAAAGTGCGGAACAGCGTTAAACGTTGAGCCAGATCTGTCTGAGATCCGACATAATACGATTTGAAAATGGCTGAGATAAACACGGAATTTGATAGAATCATATGACGGTTTTGGACAGAAATGTGGGAGAGGAGAAGGATTCATCACTGTGTTTATCAGGCAGAGCAGAGCAGCAGACAAGAACAGTCTATCCCTTGATGCATCCAAACCGCATGCTTTATATGTTTTAGGTTAACTTCACGTCCAAGGTATCTGAAAATGTTTTGTCCAATTCTCTTCACCTCATTTAAACTCCATGACTTAGGTTATTAAATTTCGTATTTTAAATATAGAAAATTTTGTCACCAAAATTGCATTTTTTTTAGGTTACTTGTGGGATGACCCATCTATTGAATTTTGTTAGATATAACGACTTATGAGAGTTTTTTTTTTTAAACTAAATTAAATAGGTTGGTTGAACCAATTTATTTAATGGGATTTTTCCAAATGGAGGAGGAAGTTCAACGAAAAACATTCTTACATGTTTACCAACATCAAGAGACTTAAACCATTTTAGGACAAAGAAGCTCTCCCTTTGGTCATCGTATATTATAAGATTTCTTAGGTGACAAGGTAATCACATTGTTTGATTCCATTGTCGGTAATAAATACACGTGTAAAATGGTGAATCACCCACGTGTCACAAAGCAAACAAACACGCTTGTTTGTACGCTAGAGATCAGATGGAGGGTTGTCGGAAGTCCCAAATCTTTTACTACTATCTCCATCTAAACCAACTGAAATTTGATGCATGTATATTTCAATATATATATATATATATATATATATATATATATGCCCTTTCTATTCCAATATATTTCTTTTTACAGCAAAAAATAGGGTATAAAAGATTTATTCGAGAACTCGTGATTTTTTTTTTAAATTAAAAAAAAAATAGGAAAAGGGACAGAGGATGACGGTGAGTGACAGTTGAAAAATCTCATCTAACTCGGCCAACCCCCTCGACCTTTTCACGTTATTATATTACTATCACTATTATCATTCCGATGTTCCATATTTTTTTCTCAATCGAGAGATGGTGAAGTTGACGAAGAGGATAGGGAGCGTGGTGCTGAGGCTGGCAGCCTTGTGCGCATCTCTAGGAGCCGTGGTGACGATGGTCACCAGCCACCAGCGAGCCTCTTTCTTCGCCGTCTCCCTCGAGGCTAAGTACACCGACATGCCCTCCTTCAAGTAAATATTCATTATATATAATCCCCCTCCCCCTCCCTTTTATATATATATATATATATATATGTTTGATTTGTTCGATGTAATGTTTTCGCAAGGTACTTCGTGATCGCAAACGCAGTTGTGAGCGTTTACAGCTTCATGGTGTTGTTTCTTCCAAAGGAGAGTTTGCTGTGGAAGTTCGCGGTGGTAATGGACCTGGTGAGCTCGATGCTGCTGACGTCAAGCCTGTCGGCCGCGTTGGCGGTTGCGGAGGTTGGGAAGAGAGGAAACGCAAACGCAGGTTGGTTGCCTATCTGCGGCCAAGTCGCCAAATTCTGCGGTCAGATAACCGGAGCTCTCGTCGCGGGTTTCGTCGCTCTCATCCTCTACCTCCTCTTGCTCATCTTCTCTCTCCACTCCGTCCTCGACCCTTTCCTCCTCCAAAAACCTTAAAGAAAACACTCCCATCTTAGTATATATATATATGTCTGTGTGTGTACATCACTCTTACATATATGTAGTTTTGATTTTGATTTTCCTTTTTATGATTATTACAAGGAATAAAATATTTACCTTCGGATACATAATGAAATTGCACATATATATATATATGTATGTATGTATGTATGTATGTATGTATGTATGGAACCCCAACTAGGATACACTAAACGCTACAAACAGACAGACAAATGTGTAAAGATTTCTCTCTCGAAGTTTGAAATATGATATAGCAATTGCCATTTAATATACATTTATAGGTATGTTATATATATATGTGTGTGTGTGAAAATTAGGAGGCAAGCATTTTCCACTCTTTTTGGTCTTCGCCGGCGCTTATGGTAATTATTCCCCGTCGGTTCTCGACGGCGGCAAGATCAATAAGCTTGCTTCCTCGTCAGTCATTTCAACCGAGACCGATCAAATTTTCCGATCCCTTCTCCGATATCCATCACCAAAGGAAACTTCTCGAGTCCTCGCTCATCTCGACGCTTGATGACTGCGTTGGCATCGATCAAGTCAAGCAGGTTCATGGGCACGTTCTTCGGAGAGGTCTCGATCAAAGCTGCTACGTTCTGGCGAAGCTCGTTCGAACGCTCACCAAGCTCCGCGTGCCCATGGACCCGTACCCTCGCCGTGTCATCGAGCCGGTCCGGTATCGGAACCCGTTTCTGTGGACCGCAGTGATTCGTGGGTATGTGATTCAGGGTTCGCTAGTCGAAGCCATCTCCATGTATGGTCGTATGAGGAAGGAAGGAATCGGGCCTGTTTCTTTCACCTTCTCGTCGCTTCTGAAAGCTTGCGGTTCAGTTTCCGACGTGAATTTAGGCCGTCAAATTCATGGCCAGACAATTATACTCGGTCAGTACTCTTCCGAGCTTCTTCTTTTTCCTCTTCAGCTTCCGTTTCGAATCGACCGCCGTGGCTTCTACGCCGTCGTTCGTCTTCCTCCTCATCTAGGATCCCTTCCGCAGAGAAGCTCTTGTTCGCAGGCATTGTCGATATAGTGATCTTCAACGGGCTCTATGCTCCGGAGAAGAAGGATAAAGCCTCTCTCTCTCTCTCTCTCTTCCTTCCGATTTGTATGTGGGCAACACCATGATCGATATGTACGTGAAATGCCAGTGTCTGGATTGCGCGCGTAAGGTGTTCGACGAAATGCAAGAACGAGATGTGATTTCGTGGACCGAGCTGATAGCCGCCTACGCTAAAGCTGGGGATATGGAGTCTGCCGAGGAACTATTCCATGGCTTGCCCGCGAAGGACATGGTTGCTTGGACAGCGATGTTAACAGGATTTGCCCAGAATGCTAAACCCATGAAAGCTATAGAATTTTTTGAGAAAATGCAGGATTCCGGAATTGGAATCGACGAAGTCACTCTGGTCGGTGTAATCTCGGCCTGTGCACAGCTAGGAGCAACCAAATACGCGGATCGGATCCGTGACATTGCTCAGAAATCTGGGTATGATCCAAGCGACCATGTCCTTGTCGGGTCTGCTTTGATCGACATGTATTCAAAATGCGGCAAAGTGGATGATGCACTTACAGTATTTGAGGCCATGAATGAAAAGAATATCTTCTCATACAGTTCTATGATTCTAGGGTTTGCTATCCATGGCCGTGCTCAGGCTGCCATAGATTTATTCCATCACATGGTAACGCAGACCACAATAAAGCCAAACACTGTAACCTTCATCGGTGTGCTCACGGCCTGCAGTCACGCAGGACTTGTTGATCAAGGATGTCAAATATTCGCCGCCATGCCCGAAACCTTTGGTGTCGAGCCCACCGCCGATCTCTATACATGTATGGTTGATCTTCTTGGCCGGGCAGGACGGCTAGATGAAGCCCTCGAGCTGATCAAAACCATGCCGGCCAAGCCACATGGAGGCGTATGGGGAGCATTGCTGGGTGCCTGCAAGATCCACAAGGATCCCAATGTAGCCGAAATCGCTGCCCACAACCTGTTTGAACTCGAGCCCGATGCCATTGGGAACTACATCTTGCTTTCGAACGTATATGCATCGGCTGGGGACTGGAAGGGCGTTGCCCGGGTGCGGAAGCTGATTAGGGAAAAGGGACTGAGGAAGAAACCGGCATCTAGCTGGGTGGAAGACAAGGAAGGTCAGATTCACGGGTTTTTCGCAGGGGACACTAACCATCCGAGGCACGAGGAGATAAAACAAACCCTAGAGAAGCTCCTGGAGAGATTGAAAACGATTGGATATCAGCCGGAGTTGAGTTCCGTGCCATATGATGTGAGTGAGGACGAGAAGATGCGGATTCTGGTGATGCACAGCGAGAAACTGGCTTTAGCGTTCTCCTTGCTGACGACAAGCGGTGATTCGCCGATACGGATAATGAAGAACCTGAGGATATGCGAAGATTGTCACTTGTTTATGCGTTTGGCATCTGAGGTTACAGGGAGGGAGATTACAGTGAGGGACAACATGAGGTTCCACCATTTCTGGAACGGAGCTTGTTCTTGTGGCGATTTTTGGTGATGGAACTGAAATCAAGGGGGTGCTTTTAGATTACTTGTGGAACAAGAAAATGTTCATGCATTGAATATCTGAAAAATTCCTCATGAATATAAAAAACAAAAAATCATCTCTTGCCTAAATTTCTTTACAGAGTAGGAGAGTGCTTTCCCTTGTCAACATCAACAATTCTACGAGTCCAAAAAAAAATCAGAAATTTAACGTTTTGCTTGAAACAAGAGCATATTGATTTTTTTTTTTTGACAACCGAGAGGTTCACCTAAACCTTCGACCCAACTTACATCCCCTCAATACCGGAAGCAGCCTTTAGAGGCCCGGCAACAAGAGCAGATTGATGTGAAAGAATGCCAATTGGATTCTCTCTGATAAATTTGCAGCCACTGCTAAGAACTAAGCAAATAAAGTGCCTAAAAGAAACAAGAAAAACATAACCTCTAGAGAGATATTCATCACTCTTGAGACATTGGACCAAAACCCACATGCCCTAGGAATCAGCTGACACACAAAACTCGATCTGTCTGTCCTAATATATATATATATATACCGTGTTATCTGCAAGTCCATGCGTGCAAAGCTCCACCTTCTTTACAAAGGAAGCTTCTGCCTGAACGCTATGATCTGAAGGAACCAAACAAAAAGAAAGCTTCAGAGGGAGTTATACCGAGAGCTGGTATGGTACGACAAGTTCACGAGAAACGGATCGTGTCTTAACACACTAACCAAATGTTCAGGACCCAGAACATAGTCTACTTTAAGCCTTGCCAGAGTTGCTTCATCATCATCTTCCAGACTTTGCATACCGTCCGTTGATGCTGAAGAAGACAGGTCATCCATTTCCTTATCCTCTCCTCTTGCTATCAACAATTCAATCTCTTCAACCTTCAAGTGTGTCTGGAGTGCGACAAACTGCTCATAGACAATTAACACAAACAAGGTTCATAATACATATTACAGAGCTAAACCATGTTATTGTTTATATACACAAGGCTCTCTTTTTTTTTTGTGCGCAACATCTCCGGACTCCATTTGAGGCACTAGATAAGCTAGACCGACCTTATTTCGATACCAACTTACAATATTTGCATATAGCTCCGTTCTGCTCTGTGTGGCTCTCATGTTTTGATTCTTTTGTGACGAGCACACCATAGTAAATATTCATTTGTATATAATAATATACGCGGAATTAACCAATGATAAGGAATTTTCTTTTCCACCCATGTAAGAAAAAGTATGTTCGGAGAGAAAGGGAAGGAGACAGAACAAGAGAAGGACAGCGAACTCACTTCACGGAGCTGCCTAACCAGTAAAGTGGGTCGGCAGCAGAGGTGCGGCTGCTGCAAATTTGGTGCATATTTTGTATCCAAAGAGACAAGCTTGAGATGAATATCTAACTGCGGATAGAGAATGTTACATACAAAGATACATATCAACTGGATTATAGTCAGGCAAACAGCAGCATGATAATCATATGAAATTTGTAACAATGATAGTCAAGAAAAGAAATTTAGTTATACCTCAACGCTATTTCCATCTAAGCTCCGGAGATATTCAACGAGTCTATTCAAGCGAGCATTCCTCACGCTCTTATTACTGCCTCCCAGGCCATTACTGTGCCTGGAGCTACTCCTTGCACCACCCCTACCCCAAGCAAATATCTCTGGGTTCCATACAAGGCCTGGAGATACTCCTCTGCTGTCCCTGAAACCTTCCATGCCATTATCGGTGCTGTTACTGTTGTTGTTTGCTCCGGATGTAGAAGGGTGGGTTGGACGATTTCCAGAGCGTTTTCTTCGTTTTCTAGGCCTGACTTCTGCACAACACTCATCTGATGATGAATCTTTGGCTCTGGCATTATCATTATCATCATCATCATCCTCGTCATGGGCTTCTGAAATGTGATGATCTATGTTTCTGCAGTTTCTTCTCCTCCTAGAACCATTACCAATACGTTGTGACCTAGACAAAATTGCTGCCTCTTTACCGAAAGATCGTCTTTTCACAAGGGCATCAGATTGTCTTTGAGATATTTGAGCTATAGATGCTTGAATCTGGCCAACAGCCAAAAAAAAACAAATATGTACATTCAAAACAACATACCCCTTATCGATCAAAACAAGAACATGGCACAGATTGCCTAGTAACTGTGAATGCATCAAAGTTGATTTAAGTCAGTGTCCCCTTGTTTCATTAGATTAGGGAATGCATCAGTAAATTCATGCATTGGGATTCTGACCTGCTTATTACGAGCCTTCTCCTCTTCATGAAAAGCCAGCTCCTGCAATAAATGGAACACATACAACAGTGTGAGTGACAACCTCTCTTTACTAAGAGACAATCGAGGAACTAAACATGATGTTTGTCAGCTTACCTCCTCCTCATATTTATCAATATTGGTAAATAAAGCCGCAATAAGAGCATCAAATTTTGGATCGTCTCTTAAAGAACGACGGCTTGCACAATGCTTCCTGCAAGCAGGACACTCATTGTTCCTGCAATTTCAGTCATAGTGCCAAACTGAGCTTTCACATCAGTAAACACATCTGGCTCCCAAGAGTTGCTGAGCAGATGAACAAAAGCATGTAACTGGAAGGTTGCAGAGAATCAATGCAAACAAAAGGAAAGGAAAAACAACAAGAACCACCATATCAATGCAGATAAGACCGAATAATCTTAAAGCATACCCCAACCGCATTGACTTATCAATACATTCCCGACAGAATCGGTGGAGGCATTCCATCACTGTCCGTGTTTTCCTTATAATTCCTGGAGAAAAAGACACAGAAGTCATGCCAATTCAACAGAGCAACAAATTGAAGCTTAAGCCTAACTACCAGGCCGATATCCAGAGATCTCCTCCTAACTTATTTCCGAGTTGTTTCTTGTCTTTCACAAAATGGGCATTGCCAGGACAATAAATCCGATGAATATCCTAAAAGAACAAGAAAGATTTAGAGCTGTAAATACCTAGACATATAGGACACTGCACTTCCTTCAGGACATCTGCCAGGTCAACATCCACATATCTGCATGAGAAAGCCAGAAATAATTACAGAACAAAGACCTGTTTGTCACTGTAGCAATACACATCTTAGCGAGCCCTTTTGATGCTCCTCTTACTGAAACCTAAAAGTATTGCCAAGGCATTCTGGACATCTATGGATCAATCTACGCAACGTTGCATTCAGAGTTGCTACATGTCAAACAGGAAACTCAATTTTTTCTTCAGCACGAAGCTGAATTTTTGGGATTTTCTGCAGAAAAACATGACAGGAATTGCGACATGCAAGTGAAACGATGCATCGGGCCGAGGAAGCAGAGAACAAGTTTCCAGTTATGTCCCGTCAATAGAGCATTCAAACCAAGAAACAAAGTATCTGAATTTGGTAATGAAAGAGCAAAAGGGCGAGAGACCCGTTGAAGCAAAAACAACATCCAGAGAAACGAGAAAACCCATAGAGCGAGAGGGAAGGAGAAGAGTTACTCTGATTGGTCACCGGAGGTTGAAGATGGACGTCTTTCCTTAGAATCTGAAACAAATAGAAACAAATCGAGAAATCGATCAACACGGACACTCCCATGTACATACGAACACAATCATGAATTGTACATACGTATCTACGTGCATAAAGCAAAACACCCATTACCTTCTTCTCCTTCGTCATCGTCTTTGTTCCGCTCCTCTCCTTCTTCTTCTTCTTCTTCTTCTTCTTTTCCGCTTTTCACTTTTTCTTCACCTGCTTCGTCTTCGTCCTCCTCATCTCCACCTTCCTCTCCCTCTCCTTCTTCTTCGTCTTTGTCTTGGTCTCTTCGCTTCTCGCCTCTCGCTTCTTCTTTTTCCTCTTCAGCTTCCGTTTCGAATCGACCGCCGTGGCTTCTACGCCGTCGTTCGTCTTCCTCCTCATCTAGGATCCCTTCCGCAGAGAAGCTCTTGTTCGCAGGCATTGTCGATATAGTGATCTTCAACGGGCTCTATGCTCCGGAGAAGAAGGATAAAGCCTCTCTCTCTCTCTCTCTCTTCCCCTCGGCGTCTCTGTGATGATATTCTTCTGTCCTGCTGCGTTGTTTCGGTTCGGTGCCGATAAAGAGAGAGAAATCGGACGAAGAAAAGGACAGAAAATTTGGGTGCTTTTGTTTTTTAGTTCTCTCTATTTTCTTATATTTTTTAATTAATACATAAAGATGAATTAATTGGTCTGTTCAGAAACCCCAAATCCCACAGACTTTGTTGTCAAGGTTTGATCAGTTCTGCTCCTCTTATTAATGGAATTTAGTTACAATTGTCTGAATTGTTATTAAGACCTAAAACTAAATTCTAATAGTGATTTTCTCTTAGCTTAAATCAATGCAAGAGTAAAAGCTTGTTAATTTTAAGAGTTGATCTACATAGCTGTTTTTTTTTTTCAGCAGCGTATAAAATGCTTATAAAAAAATATCCTAAATATGAATAAAATATCTACTAGTTTTTTAAAATATTTCAAAACGACAGCAATCAATTAATCTAATAAATAAATAAAAAATAATGTGCAGTCCGATTTAATCACTAAAAATGTGCATGGTTGATAATATACAATAATAAAATAATTTTTGGGTAAGATAGTTCAGTGATAATATACAATATTATGCGGGACAAATGGTTCAATTAATTACAAATAAAATATTCTTCTTCGTGCCAGGAATAGGGTGTACGGATGAGTTTATACAAATGGGTTGGATTACTGGATAATTAATCGATGATTAAGATGAGATTACAACAAAATTGCCCTCATATTTTAAAAAAATTACAATCATCAATAATCCCCGGCCCAAAAGAAATGAATAGCGCCGTCTGTGGGGATCGAACCCACGACCACGTGGTTAAAAGCCACGCGCTCTACCGCTGAGCTAAGACGGCTGCTTGGTATTCGATAACCTTTACTAGTATTAATTTTAAAATTTCCGACATTTCTCATGACAGAAAATGTAAAAACGTATAAATTAAAAGTTCGACGATGTTGTCGATGATTTTCCGAAACAGACTTCGGATCGATGAAGCAGTCCGCTTCTTGATTCTTGGTTGGATACGATTTGATGGGGCTGTGAAGGATGCGGCAGGGCTATGATCTTTTCTGTCAATTTTGACTTCGTTTTATGATGCAAACAAACGATTTCAAGATTCAATACGACTTTTTATTCCTCGAAATAACTCTTGTGACCTATCAAAAAGAAACTAAACCCAGTATCCAAATATCTATGCTAAACGACATCACATGGGAAAAAGAAAGAGTTCACTGCTTTGAGATCAGTCTCTAGAGAAATGGTGGAAGTGGAACAAGTCCAATCATTCCAGTTTTATATATGGGGGCCATGTGATACGATCACTAGAGTCTGTAGGAGAAGGGTGAAATGGTCATTTGAGAAACCCGACTTGACTACCAGAGATGAATATACTACTTGGGTTTGGCCTCCAAGTTCATTCCTTGGACGTTGAGCAACAGGTCGCTGGAGTTCAAGTAAACCTTGTTGGCCGATTTCGCTATTGTCTGAGCGATCTCTCTCGCTGCTTCGATCTTCCTCAGAGTGATGAAGGCCGGGTTATTCGCGATCGCTTGGCCGATGAGTTGAGCACTCTTGGCTTCCCCCTGTATAGACAAAACCGGTATGATATTTGATCCTTGCATGTTCACGTCAAAAACGTAATGCCCTTCCGTTCTAAAGCCAAGATCAAGAATTCTTTCCGATCTCTTTCTAACTAGCCATAATTCCCTGCATAATTATACATTAAAACCGACCCTTGGGCAAAACAACAAAAACATCGGGAGATTGCCAAAAGTTGTCTTGTAGTACTCACCTCTGCACGGATGACAGCACTTCTCTTGTCTTGTTCTGCTTTCTCAACAACGAACTTAGCACGTTCAGCTTCCTGAGCGGCCACCTGTTTTGCCTCGATTGCTTCAGTGAATTCTCTGCCAAAGGTTAGGCTTGTGATGGAGACATCGTCCAGAGCGATGTTGAAGTTGGCTGCCCGCTCGGTCAAAATCTTGCGTATCTCCTTACTCACAACCTAGGTGACAGGGGAAAAAATTACACATCAAGATTTTTATGAGGTACAAAAACAAGCAAAAAAGAGGAAAAAACTCAGAACTGGGGTACCTACTTCTCTCTGTGTAATGAGCTGGCTGGCGTTGTATTGAGCCACCACGGCTTTCAAGGTTTCGTGGATGATGGAAGGAAGAACCCTTTCGTTGTATTTCTCACCAAGTGTTCTGTAAATCTCAGGCAAGCGGTCACCCATGGGACGTGTGAGAACACGGAGCCCAATATTCACCTGTGCAACAGAAAGAAAAAAAATCAGGAAATCTAATGAAACGAAACACACAAAATGTGTTTTGATGCCAGCTTAATCCACTTCTTGAAAGCTACTCCTGCCGTTGTTTAATCTCGGATTGATGGATCCTAGTACATGGTACCATGTCAGCTTAATCTACTTTCAGGAAGTGTATCTTTGGACAACTTGAAGCAGAAGGGTAAGGCTCATGTAAGGATACTATCAAACGTTTTAACCTCCTCATAAAGCAATAATGCAATTGATAGCTCCACAGTCATATACTGAATCAGAACTTGGCACAGAAACAAAGAAAGACAAGCAGACAATGATTTTCCATTTCAGTTTAATTCATTGCCCATAAAAGCTAGTATGGGTTTGTTAAAGTATCAGGCTCATGGATACATAGATACACATACACAGGTCAAGTGCATGTTTCGACATCTTAGCACGAACGGCAAAGGGCTAAGAGAGCAAGCCAAATTCGATTTACTTCTTCAAAACTTCAAATGCATAAACGAAATCTGGTCCTGAACATGGTGTGATCTGCATACCCCAAATAAGGACTCTAATATAATCACTTGAAGGAGCATGTCTAACATATATTGCTCAGAATCATCAATCACACTTGAGCATAAAGAACGATAAGCAACCAAGAATGATGATAACATGCAAACAAAAAATCAAAGAGCATACAAAAAACATAACACACCATCTGAAGGTCATGACTACCAGTGACACTCTCCACAAGATTGGGTCGTGCTCGAACATCATAGATAACTGGCCTCTCAAACCATGGCACCATAAAATGTGTGCCCTCAGGATAGACCTGAAAAAGAATCCCATGAACATAATCACGCTTCAAAACAACTGCTCACATGCTGGGGAACTCTTGAGCAATACATACCTTATCCTTAATACCAGTTAACCGGTTAAACATGATAGCACGATGCCCTCCTTCAACATTGTAGAGACTGTTGGCAATTCCATAGACACCAAGCCCACCGATGACGCTGACCTTAAGTAACGCAGACAGGGCAGGAGATCCAGGAACATTCGGAACTTTGTTGAAATTCATCTTCCTATATGAGCCAAGGGAATGTACACAGCAACAAAACCACTACTCAAAGAACAACGCAGGATGCCTTGAAGCAATGCTTCTGGAACTGAATGCATAGTTAGTATATGGAAGAGAAAGGACGCATTCCCCTAGGATCCAAAAAGTCTAAACACTGTCATAATTACTCAGAACAGCTAAGTGTGAATCCTTAAGTTAAATGGCTAGAAGCAACAAGGATCATATAACGAGGTTTCTAGAACTGAATGCACTGAAAGCAGATGAACAGACAATACATTTCCATGCTAATACAGAAGAACGAACAAAGCTCTAACATCATTCCAAACAAATACAGGGAAGGCCTGAAATGACTACAAATTTTTTATACAAAAAGAAGGGAAATCATTGCTTCTGAAACGGGATGTAATACTAACAATTGAAGAAAGGCATTCCAAGAGAATGATCTTCGATTGACAATAGAGTACGACCCAATTCACCAACAAACGGAACACGTATTCTCGCAGGAAACTACAACGAGAAAACAACACGCGCATTCAAGCGAAGAACTCCGATTTGCCCTCGATCATCCACATTATGCAATTACAAAATTGAAATACAAACAGGATCACGAAGCACTAAATTCATCATTTTCCCGGAGAGATCATTACCGGCAAAAAACATGATCAAGCAACAAACACGAGCAAAAGTGATTAAGAAATGGTGAGGATGAAGAGAAGAGAAAAACGCACCGGAGCTCGTGAAACGCAGTTCTCGATCGCCGGGGAGGTCAAGGTTTAAGAAAAGATCGAGGCCGAGAAGGTTCTAAGGAAGGTAGGGTTTTAGGAGCCAGAAAATTATCTTAACATAATCTTTTTGTATTTATATTTAACATTTTATATTACAAAATTTAGTTATATATGCCTTTTACAGAAAAAAAAAATTATGGGTCCTGCAAATCGTGGGCTTGTGGGCCTGTTGATTTCAATCTCTCTCGAGTGATTTCTCTGTTTTATGATTAGGGGTTTTATGATTAGGAGTGTCAATAGAATCCGAAACCCGAAGCCCGATCCAAAATTCACCCGAAAAATTAAGGGTTTAAATCTAATAATCTAGGTCCGGTAAATAAATAGGCGGATCGGTCCGGTCCAAAATAAATTAGGGCCGAATCGAGTCCGGCCTAAAATCATCCAACCGCCCATTTAGCCCGAAAAAATATTATATTATTATATTTTTATTTTCATTTGACATTTAATACCACACAACATTATATAAAAACTTTTATTTGTATGTTATATATATATATATATATATATATATATTTCATAAAACAATTTGATTAATATATATCAAACTTATATTATATACATATATATATATTATTAAACAGTTGGTTAGATTTTGGTTTAATTATGCACTATAATTTTTTTTAATTATAATTGATATGGACGAAAATTTGTTATTGTTTTTTTTTAAAAAATGTTAAATTATTATTATTGTTATTATTATTATTATTATATATTAATATTTATTTTTTTATTAAATAGAAAAAACTCGAAACCCGGTCCGAACCCGTCCGAAGCCCTATAGAGCCGGACTCCGGACCACCGATCATAGGCCCGAAAAATAAATGGATGGGCCAACCCGACCCAAAAAAATCTAAGCCCGACCCGAACCCGGCCCGGTCCGCCCATTTTACACCTCTATATACGATATTAAAGTGTGCAGACTTTTTTTTATAATTCGTAAATTTGTCGGACTTCTGTTCTAATAATAGTTTTAAAAAAAAAAAAGTCTAAATGAAATTCCCTTCTTAAATGAAAACTCGACATAATTCGAGTTTTACCTTATTTTTATCAATTGAGTAAATCAAATATGAGTTTACGACTTTCTTTAAATAAAACGAGTTTCTCTTTGGTTTTACTTAAGCTCGATATAATTCGAATTTAACAAAATTATTCTTAAATTATATGTTGGTTTGTTTTATATTATATATAATAAAGAACCATGCAATCCAATTTGGATAGTTTAACAAGTGGAAATCATGACGCAAAGGTTTATTCAAGGCACTAAAAAGACATGTGCAAGTGGAACAAGGATACAGGGCCCTACAATTTGATGGGCTCTACATTTTTAAAAAATGATTTTTAAATACTAATAATTTATAATTATATTTATTAATATACATATGATAAATAATTAAAATTATATTTAACATAAAGTTTCGTAATTATCATCATTAATATTTATGTTTGTGATTTTTTAACATTAAATTTATCAATTAATATAATTAAAAAATTATTTATTATTTTATAAATATATATATTTTGTACGGAGCCTCTAAATCGTTTGGGACAGTTCTGATTCTGTTCCGAATTTGAATCTCAAGTTGGGGAAGAAAAATATATATTCTGATTACATGGTTTGTTCTCGGAACCCGAGGTCAGTTTGGATTTAAATTCATCACAACCGGTTATCCAAAAAAATAACCATACAATAGAAAAATCGGAAATACGCGTAGAGAAATACTCCGAACCACATGCGTACGTACACAATCGAAAAATTACTATATGACAATTACGCATTATAAAACCATCGTTGGAATTTCCAATTTGGAAATTAATTATTGTGCTCTCGATGGGAAGGTTTGAATGCTGTATAGACACTTGCCGTATCTAACTATATGATGTGTTAGAACAGTAATTAGGCAAATCGCCATGCACATGCAGTGCTTTCTCCTTTCACAACGTGTCACTCCTTTGCTTCTTGTTTTGTTTGGTTCTGTTCTCGTGATACAGTCATGTTCACAATAATTATTATTTTTAATTATATATATGTAAATGTAATTAGACACTCTCTTTCCAAATCATAATCCGAAAGAGAGGAACCAGAGGAAAAAAATATGAAAACGTTAATGCCATCTCTTGTGTCAATTTGTCTCGCACTTCTGGTAATATTCGACGGTGGCGAAACCCGACAACAAGAGGTGCCGTTGACGAGCGCATGCCGGTTCGAGCGGCTCAACAGCCTCGAGCCGACCGAGACGGCGGAGATGGAGGGTGGTCGGATGGAGTTCTGGGACCACACCTCCCCCGAGCTCCGTTGCGGCGGCGTGGCCATGGCTCGAGTCACCATCGAACCCAAATCCATTTTCTTGCCCTCTTTCTTCACCTCCCCTGGCCTCGCCTACGTTGTCCAAGGTCAATTCACCATCCGTATTTATATCAATACATTTTACGGGAAACACCATATAGACCGGTCACGGCTATCCTAAACCGGTTTGAAATTGTGTCGGTTTATTCTGCAGGAGAGGGAGTGATGGGAATGGTAAGGCCGGGTTGTCCCGAGACGTACGACGAGGGAGGAATGGAGGCGGGGGAGACTGGACGACGTCGTTTCGGTGACATGCACCAGAAAGTGGAGAACTTCCGGCGAGGACACGTGTTCGCTTTGCTCGCCGGAATATCTCACTGGTGTTACAACAACGGCGATTCTCCCGTCGTAATTGTCCTCCTCCTCGACATCACCAACCGAGACAACCATCTCGATCAGAAGCCAAGGGTAACACCATAAACAGAAAAAAGAAAAAAGAGAAATCCTTACCGGAGGTATCCCTAATCTGTGATACAATCATACAAACTGCAGGTGTTTCAAATAGCGGGAAGTGGAGAGCGAGGAGGAAGAACAGGGAAAGGCCACGTCTGGGTATCGAGCAAGAACATATTCAGCGGTTTCGATCCGAAGATCATAGCCGAGGCGTTCAAGATCGATCTTCAGACAGCTAAGAAGCTGCAGAGCCAGAGAGACGACAGAGGAAACATCGTCCGAGTCAAGGGTAAGCTCCATTTCGTATCTCCACGTATAGAACAAGGTCGGGCGTGGGAGAGAGATAATGGAGTGGAAGAGACGATTTGCTCGGCCAGGATGCATGAAAACATCGACGACCCTTCACGCGCCGACTTTTACAGCTCACGCGCCGGTAGGATCAGCACTCTCAACAGTTTCACGCTTCCGGTTCTTCGCCTCGTCCGGCTTAACGCCGTCCGAGGCTTACTGTACAGCGTGAGTACCGAAATGACCCTTGAATTTCGTCATATATGTCCTAGCTTCAAAAATATCTTCTAGGATGGGGCATTGGCTTTGCAACTCGTACCGAAATGACCCTTGTATTTGTCTACTTGCATGAGCAGGGAGGAATGGTGCTGCCGCACTGGACACCGAACGCGCACACGGTGATCTACAGTCGACAGTT